CACGACTGTTCTTCGCTCCGCCGTCTCCGTCGTCTCTGCCGCCGCCTGACTCTGCTCTTTGTCAGGTTGTTACTCTCCCGTCGTCTACTGGTCTTCCGTTACAGACTGGCTCACCGCTACCTGCTCCCTCTCCTTACACTGAGCAGACAGGCAGTCCTGCTACGCGTCGTGAGCCTGCGTCGCGTCCTGTCTCGCCTGTTCTATCTGGTCGTACCGTTCGTCGTGTCGCTCGTGCGCGTCAGCCGGCTGTCCCCAGCGCACACCTTGTTGTCCGTCGTCCTTCCTCTGCTCCGCAGCCTGTTCCTCTGCCGTCTCCCCCTGCGTCCTCTCTGCCTGCCGTTCCGGACCCTGAGTCTGACCGTTTTCGTACTCAGCACCCTACTGTCACGCGTCTCCTAGCCACTGTTGTCACTGACCCGTCGTTTGAGTCTACTGCTGCGTCTGCCTTGGTCGCTGAGCTTGTTGACTTTGCTGCTGCCTGTCGTCTAGACTACGCCGCTAGTCTTGTTGCTGAGTCTGAGTCTGTCTGTCCTCCGTCCGTCGGGGGTGAGTGTGCTCTTAGCACGGACGTCCTTGAGGACAGGCAGGAGGAGTTCCAGTATCTTGCTGCTGCTTTACCTCATCTTGTGTCCTCGCTACTTGCCCCTGAGGGAGACCCAGATGCACCAGACATCCCGACTCCGCGCTCTTACGCAGAGGCGATAGAGGGTCCCTACTCCTCTCAGTGGCAGGCAGCCATGGACGCAGAGATGGCTTCCTGGAAGTCCACAGGCACCTACGTTGACGAGGTTCCCCCACCTGGGGCGAACATCGTCAGTGGCATGTGGATTTTCAGGGTGAAGCGGCCGCCGGGTTCTCCGCCTGTCTTCAAGGCGCGTTACGTGGCTCGAGGCTTCAGTCAGCGAGAGGGAGTTGACTTCTTCCAGACCTCCTCCCCCACCCCGAAGATGACCACTCTTCGGGTGCTGCTGCACGTTGCTGCTCACCGTGACTACGAGCTTCACTCTCTTGACTTCAGCACTGCTTTCTTGCAGGGTAGCCTGCACGAGGAGATCTGGCTGCGCCGCCCCCCGGGCTTCACTGGGTCGTTCCCTCCTGGTACCCAGTGGAGCCTCCGGCGGCCGGTCTACGGTCTCCGCCAGGCGCCACATGAGTGGCACGACACACTGAGGACTACGCTTGCGGCTCTTGGGTTTGCTCCTTCTACTGCTGACCCGTCGCTGTTTCTGCGCACCGACACTTCCCTGCCGCCGTTTTACATCCTCGTGTACGTCGACGACTTGGTTTTTGCCACTGCTGACACTGAGGCTCTCGCCCACGTGAAGTCGGAGCTGCAGAAGAGACACACGTGCACAGACTTGGGTGAGCTGCGCAGCTACCTTGGCTTGCAGATCACCCGAGACAGAGCACGTCGCACCATCACCTTGACTCAGTCACACATAGTGCAGCAGGTCCTTCAGCGCTTCGGCTTCACCTGGTCTTCAGCACAGGCCACTCCTCTGGCTACAGGTCACACGCTCTCAGCTCCACCTTCGGATGAGTCCGTAGAGCCGAGTGGTCCTTACCCAGAGCTAGTCGGCTGCCTCATGTACCTGATGACTTGCACTCGACCTGACCTCGCGTACCCTCTTGGTCTTCTGGCTCGCTACGTGGCTCCTGGTCGGCACCGACCTGAGCACATGGCTGCTGCTAAGAGGGTACTGCGCTACTTGTGCAGCACATCAGGCATGGGGCTAGTGCTTGGAGGGACGAGCCCGGGTGTACGGGCCGCGCGCAGGCCACGACGGGCGACGGGGGGCGACGCGCGGGTCCCCGTCGCCCGTCGCAGCGCCTCCCGGGGGCGACGTGCCGAGTGACGGGGCAGGAACCCGTCGCGCGCCTCGGGGCACACGGCGGGCAGAGAACCGCCGCGCGCCTCGGGGCGCACGGCGGGCAGAAAACCGCCGCGCGCCTCGGGGCGCACGGCGGGCTGAAAACCCTAGTTTCGACGCCGCGCACCACGGGGCGCGCGGCGGACAGGGAGTAGCAGTAGCAGCGGAAGCAGTGAAGTGGGCCCACAGGCCAGGAACGTTAAGCTCTGATGCCATGTTGAGATAAGCGGTAGTCTTAGGAGCCATAGCTAGGAGAGTCCTAGCTAGGCAAGAGAGTTTAGGCGAAAGAGAGGGGTTGCACTAGCAAGAATGGGGATACAAATAGCAAACCCTAGAAGGGTTGTACTCGCTACAGAGCACCCCACTACAGGCTAGAGCATAATATTCTGACACAGTTGTCTTCACTGGACACTCAGACGCTTCTTGGGTTGACGACCAGGCTACTCAGCGGTCGTCACAGGGTTACACCTTCAGCCTTGGCTCTGGTTCAGTTTCGTGGCGTTCTACACGTTCGTCTTCAGTTCTCAGCTCCAGTTGTGAGGCTGAGATCTACGCCACAGCCATGGCTGCACAGGAGTTATGCTGGCTCACCTACCTGCTGACTGACTTGGGAGAGCAGCCTCGTTCTCCTCCAGTGCTGTACGTCGACAACAAGGCCGCCATTGCCTTGTGTGAGGAGCACAGACTGGAGCACAGAACGAAGCACATTGCTCTGCGTTACTTCCTGGCTCGAGAGTTGCAGCAGCGAGGCCAGCTTCGTCTTCGCCACGTGGCCACTCGGGCCAACACTGCTGATATATTCACCAAGGCACTTCCGTCTGGTGATCATCAGCGCTTTTGTACTCTGTTGGGCCTTGTGCCTACGTTTCCACACTTGCTGTAGTCTCTGCTTGTACTGTGATCTATATATATATCTGCATGCTGGCTCTTGCTAGGTAGCCATCACTGTACTGTTATTGCTGCATATATATCTCTGCATGTGAACTGGCCCTGTGGCCTTTTGCTTGTGCTCGGAATGCGTGGTGACATTGTGATCCACCCTGAGCTTGTTTTGCTTCTCTTGACTGGTCGTGTGACCCCTTGTTCTCCCCCACTTTGCCTATGGGGGTGTGTCAAACTATATGTGCTGCATATTGTTTAGGCTGTAGTGGGGTAGCCCATATGGGGTACAACCCAATTAGGGTTTACTACTTGTACTCTTGCATCCTGTTAGTTCATCGATTCCTGCTGCTAGATTCTGACAAATCGGTCTCGGGTTCAAATCCCGGTGTATGCACATGTAGGTTGTTGCCGCTGTGTTCAATCCTGGTCCTCCCAGTGTGGAGGGGTGTCAGTATGTCTGCAATTTAAGATCCCCGATTGATCCTAGGGAAGGGTTACATGCACGTTGTCATGGGGGGTTATGGGCGCAATCACCCACTACATTAACCAGCCGTTTTACCTAGTGTTAGTGGCTGGGATTCTAACAATTTTCGCTCCCTTTACATTCTCGCCACTTCATCTGTTTTGGACTCATGCACTTACCCCCTTACTCACTCCCTTACGCTTGCTCCGAACAGGCCTCAAACACTCATGTGGAGTAATGTGCTCGTGCAAGACTTTCATTCGCTCGCCAAAACTTGCTTGAAGGGATGCCCATGATCATAAATGTCTGCTGCTGGATGGTGCTGTGTTTTGGATTTGAGAAGCAACAATCGTTATGCCACTAACATCAGGCTTAGCCCGAGTCATTATCGCTCTTCTTTTAGTTCTCATCAGCATCCCGATAAGGTTGGGGAGACTGAATCAAACAGATCTTATGTCAAGGTTGTGTTCGCTATCGTATTCTCCCAGATGTGGCCAGTCCAACTTCATACGAGAGAATTTTTTTTTTTCAACTTATTTGTCATAATGTCCACCTGAGCGAAGACCCTGGTAATACGTGGTGAATTCAGGTGCGCTGTAAGGTAATAAATTATTTTAGAGGAATTTTGTATGTCAACTGGTGTCATAGGGGGAAAGGTGTGGTCATGTGCAAGACATACTTTTCTAAGGTTATTGCTGAAGGGGTTGGATGTGGCTGAAGAGCATTTTCTAAGGTCTTCTGCAAACGGTTCCGTTACCACCGAGGATTCGGAATGCCCCCGAAACCGACCCAAAGCGGTGAATGCCATCCCCGTCTCGTCGTTATAATAGCTCTCGATACGGTCAACACAAGTTCGAGCGCCACCCGATACTGTCACAGACGACAACCAGGGCCTATCAGTGTCGGCTTAGTCCCAGCCAATTAGCTCGTGGCGAATCGTAAAAGGGTGCGGCGTGTGGGAAGGAACCTGAGCGGCGGCGAGGTCGCAGGGAGGCGAGAGAGAGTGGGAGCGGAGAAATTTCAAAAGTGACTCCGCTATAGGACAGGATTGAACGGCAGTTGGTGAGCCGTGGCGGTGAAGGGGCTGGTGTGGGCCGTTAGGCGAGGAGGAGGCAAGACGCGAGGCGAGGAGGAGGCAAGACGCGAGGCGAGGAGGAGGCACGACGAGAGGCGAGGAGGAGGCGGTGAAGGGAAGAGGCGCGACGAGAGGTACAGGGCGTGCGGAAGCTGAGGAAGCAAGCGGAAGGCAGAAAGGGGGCTTGACGGCGGGTCAAAGCGGCAGCACGCAAGGCGTAAGGCGGAATCAGCACGGCGCAAGGCGCAAGGCGCAAAGCGGAAGGCGCAAAGCGGAAGGCGCAAAGTGGAAGCCGCAAGGCGTAAGGCGCAAGCGATGGCGCGCGATTCAGGCGGGCAGGAGGTGGAAGTGCTGCTGCTGATGGCGGACAGGTGCGATGGGGGTGGGGGAAACTTTAGGGCTCGACTTAGGGTTAGGGTTGGGGTTGCGGTTAGGTTTTTGGAAAGCAGGGTGGTAACCGCAGGAGGTGGAAGTGCTGCTGCTGATGGCGGACAGGTGCGGTTGGGGTGGGGAAGCCGGGTACTAGGGTTAGCCGTCGAGTTAGGGTCAGATTACGGTTAGATTTCGAGTTAGGGTTTGTGTAAACATTTCAGGGAAATAATCCTTCTAGGTGGAAGTGCTGCTGCTGATGGCGGACAGGTGCGGTGGGGGTGGGGGAGACAGAAGGGCTAGTAAACGTGTAGCGGCTTAGAGGTTACTTCTCAAGGTGATGGCGCAAGGGGCAAGTGCAAGATTGACGAGATTGAAGGGAGCCCACCTCCTCCTCACCCACCCCCCATCCACCCAACCGTCTCCAACCCCCCACCCTTATTCTCACCCCTCTCCTGCCCAGTCCCAGCGGAGCGTGTGAGCTGGTACGAGTGGTTGCAGGGAGGGCAGAAGCCTGTGAAGCTGACTTATTGCTCACACTTCGCTGCTACTCTCTCTGCCCTCACAACCCCACCAAAACCCCCCACCAAAACCACCCCACTCCCTCCCAGATCAAAACCGAGAGTGTGAACCGGCGTGATTGAGGGCGGGGGAAGAGGATGCTTGTATAATTGACGCAAACCTCCCCCATCCATCTCCCTCCTGTTCCGCTTTTCCCTCCCCACCCCACTCCCTCCCTGGTGGCAGCCGGGCGTGTGAGCTGGTGCGAGTGAGTGTGGGGCGGGAGGAGGAAAACATGACTCAACCTTCCTCCGTCCCTCTCTCTCTCCTTCCGCTTGTCTGCCCAATCCCAGCCGTGCGTGTGAGCTGGTGCGAGTGAGTGCGGGGCGGGAGGAAACAGCAGGAGGGGTGGCGCAGCAGGTGTTGCGAGATCAGGGAGTGGCGCTGGCAGCAGGGGGGACTGCATCGCTGGTGTTCAATGGGGTGGAGGTAAGAGCTTTGGCAGCTGGAGTGCGGTGCAGAGCGGTGGATATGTAGGTATTGGTTATGCGACAGTGGTGGAAGAGACAGACAGCAGGCGGGGTGGTACAGCAGGTGCTGAGGGATCAGGGCGTGGCGCTGGCAGCAGGGGGGACTGCATCGCTGGTGTTCAATGGGGTGGAGGTAAGAGCACTAGCTGTGTGGGTGTGGTGATTTTCGGTAGAATTACAGCTAATGAGCATGAGCATGCGCATGAGCATGAGCATGAGCATGAGCGTGAGCGTGAGCGTGAGCGTGAGTGTGAGCGTGAGCGTGAGCGTGAGCGTGAGCGGGAGCATGAGCATGAGCATGAGTGGATGCCTAGCTTGTATATTCAAATGAGCACGTGCCGTCTTGCTTGAACGGCCACACCCTCTTCACTACCCTGTGCTGTTTGTTCCTTGGCTGATTTCTCAGTTGAATTACTAATCGCCTTCCTAACTCACTGTTTATTTCTCAACTTCTCTTCACCCTCCTCCCAGTGCGTACGACTAGGATTTCATACATGCTGCTCGATCCGGTTTCACACTTTCTCGCCACTCTTTTGAACCATTTTGAATCACTCCCCACCGCTGTGCACCCTCTCCCTGTGCGTCTTTTGCAGCTGGATGAGCTTTCCACTCTGGAACAGTGCGGCATTTGATGTGCTCCTCTGGTCATCCCATCACAACCACTCTCCACCGCTTTGCTCCTCCCTTTCATGCCTTCCATTTTCAGCTGGATGAGTGTTCCACTCTGGAACAGTGCGGCATTTGATGCGCTCCTCTATTCATCACACCACATTACTCTCAACCACTCTCCACCGCTTTGCACTTGTCTCTTCCTCTGACAGCTGGATGAACGCTCCACTCTGGATCAGTGCGGCATTCGATCTGCTCGTCTATTCATCACACCACATCACTTTGAACCACTCTCCACCTCTTTGCACCTTTGTCCTTTGCATCTGTTACTCACAGCTGGATGAACGCTCCACTCTGGATCAGTGCGGCATTCGATCTGCTTCCGGGCGAGAGAGGTGAGAGCCGTGGAAGGAGAGTGAGGTGAGAGGGGTGGGACAGGGGACAGTGAATAGGAGGAATGGGAGTATGCAGGCGGGGAGTGCCGCATCTCCTTCCACACCACACCCCCTCCCTCCTTCGTGTCCCCATCCCACCCCATTGCCTTTTGAGTATACCGTGCCATAAACCACATGCTTTTCATCTTGGCCCCTGCCGTCCTCACCCATCATTCAACCATCTTTCGAGTCGACTCAGTTAGCCCTCTCCTCCCCAACCTGGCAGCTCCCTGCTTTCACTTAGTCTCCCTCCCTTCCACTGTCTGCATTGCATCTCCCCCCCCCCCCCCTTCTCCCATGGCCACCCCTCCCACCCACCCCTTGCGCCTGCCACCACCCCGCCCACCAGCTGGGTGCCTCGATTTCTTTTCCCCAACGCGTGGCACATGCAGTCCGTGCCAAGAAAGCCGCCAGTCAAGGTAGGGCGACATGACAGCAGCAGCTGCAGCTTCTGCGGTGCATGTGCAGTCGATCGACTCAAAGGTCAGCTGGGTGCCTCGATTTCTTTTCCCCAACGCGTGGCACATGCAGTCCGTGCCCAGGAAGCCGCCAGTCAAGGTAGGGAGATATGCCAGCAGCTGCAGCTTCTAAGCTATGTTGGAAAATACGCGTATGGCGTACGGAACGCGTACATACGCGATACGCAAATTTCGGGCGTACAAAAAACCTCGAAATACGGTGCGTCGGGCAGGTTAAAAAATTCTAGGGCAGGGGAAAACATTTCAGTTGAGGTAGAATGCTTATAGGGAAAGAACTTCAGCAATACTTGATGCGGATAACTCCCGTGGGGTTTACGCCAGTACGAAATTGTTGGCTAGAATCGTCCTAATATTGCGGTTGCTAAGGGTACGTTCCTGGCCCGTGTCAAGCTTCGGGCCTTCCCGGGAAGGCCCGAAGCTTTGGGTCAAACTCCCTGTCAAACTTCAGGTCTTCCAGAAACAGGGGCAATTTTTGGCCGGAAGACCCGAAGTTGGTCTCGGATGGCCCAAAGTGGGTCCAACTTCCGGTCATCCGCGGATGACCGGAAGCTTGACACTGGCCAGGAACGTACCCTAAGATCTGCAAGTGTCGCGACGCCGCTGCTAGCAATAGCAGTAAACTTGGCGTGAGACAAATGAGATTCGCTGTTGTACTAACGCCGACGTGCGAGCAGCTTGTAAGGGAAGGTTGGGTTTGGGAGGTGGTGTGAGGTGATGTGCGGTGGAGGGGAGGGGAGGGGGGCATTCGAGTTTCGAATCTCAAAATTAGGTTTCACAGAATTGCAGATCGCGGAATCAGCGGCAACAGATTTTTTCTCTTTTTTTTGTTCGGGCTGCCCGGCGAAACGTATCGCGGATTACGGAACGTATCACGTTTTTCCGTATATACGTTCTCGTATAAACGTGATACGCGTAGAAGCCCCAGCGTTTTTTCCAACATAGCTTCTAAGGTGCACCTTCCACAAGGAAAGTGCAGGTGAAGGTACTGCAGTGGCAGACAGTAGTTGGTGCAGACTGGTAACCAGGGAGGTCAGGAAGCTAAGGATGCTTGGCAATTGGTGCAGCAAATTCAATAGCCACTCGTTCTGAGAGTGTCATTTTGTATACATCTCGTCCACACCATGTTTTATGGACAACTCTTTGCGTTCGCACCCGTTCAATCCTCACATATGGCCCGACCTGTGGCAAGGCACAGAGCATCAACACAGCAGCTGCCATCCTGTGCGCCATCCATCCTCGTTCCGCCCAGTATCTCCCAGCTTCCCTCCATCCCCTTCACGTCACGCATAATCCTACCTGCAGGCGACAGACCCCACATCGCTTTTGGCAAGGCTAGGAGCAACACCACAACCACTGCCATCCTCTGTTCTCTCGCTCTTCCATTCCCACGCCGCTTCCTTCCAACCATTTCACACACTCCTGCCTGCCGATGGCCGATCCCACATGGCCAGTGGCACGGCACAGAGCACCACTGCAGCCACTGCTCTCCACAGTGTCCTCGCTCCACCCTGGTGTGTTTTGAGTCGACTCAAAACACATCCCACATGGCCAGTGGCACGGCACAGAGCACCACTGCAGCCACTGCTCTCCTCAGTGTCCTCGCTCCACCCTTGCCCTCCCTGCTTCCTTCCATCCCCATTACTTCACACACTCCTGCAAACAGGTGACTGGCCCCACATGGCCAGTGGCACGGCACAGAGCACCACTGCAGCCACTGCCTTCCAGCCTCTCTCTGCTTCCTTCCATCTCCAGTGCCTCACCCACGCTCCTCCTTCCATCTCCATTGCCTCACCCACGCTCCTCCTTCCATCTCCATTGCCTCACCCACGCTCCTCCTTCCATCTCCATTGCCTCACCCACACACTCCCTCTGACAGGTGAACGACCCCACGTGGCCTGTGGCAAGGCACGGAGCACCACCGCAGCCACTGCCTTCCAGCCTCTCTCTGCTTCCTTCCATCTCCTGTGCCTCACCCACGCACCTCCTTCCATCTCCATGACCTCACTCACACACTCCCTCTGACAGGTGACCGACCCCACATGGCCAGTGGCAAGGCACGGAGCACCACCGCAGCCACTGCCGTCCTCAGTGCTCTCGCTCCTCACTCTTCCGTTTGACTCCGTCCCTGTCTGGGCACTCTTCCTCTGTCTCTTTGTTGCTGGCCTCTGTGCTGCTCGATGATTGTAGCCATATGGAAATAACAGCTTCTTGCTATCCATCCATAATCAGGGATTGTGCGACATCAAGGCAGTCCCAAGTGCACGAAACACATTAGTCCGCATTTGTGAAGGGCATGTTCATAAAATAAGGGTGCCCAGGTTTCAACCAAGCCCCAGCAAGTTTTGTTTTGCTCGTATAGTTTAAAAAATAGTTTTACGTTTAAGGCCCTAACAGAAACTTTACAGCCCCAGTAGCACAGTGGTAGTGCGTTCGCTTCGTAAGCGAAAGGTCCAGAGTTCAATCCTCTGCTGAGGCACTCTTATCCCACTTCGTTATCACTCGTTTTGTTGACTCACATTCCCATATTTAGGTGACATACAGCCTTCTGTACCACTTTATTTAGAACGCTGTATTTGTACACAAGATACAAATGGTGTCAAGCATAAATGGCTAACTAACTAGCAATGCATAACTGCTACCAATGAGGTCTCAAGAACCAACACCGAGGTACGCAAAATCAGCCAGGGAAGGTGGGGTAGGATCTGGTGGTGCGGAAGGTGTGTCGATGCTGTAGCAGGTTTGTGTCCGACGGCAAATGGTTCTGGCCTTCTTGCGCTGATGCACCAAAGAAATCCTCTTGAAGTAGTCGTCTCGAAAAGCTCTGGAACAAGGTCAGATGTGCCACCCATGTCCAGAAGCCGTGTCGCCCCTCGTCAACTACAATCCATGATGAAGCTGAAAATTGTCGTAGCAAAGCATCCGGATGTAGTTATGGAATTTGGAGGGGCGTGCTGGGGATCTGCGACCGAAACATCTAATGTCCGCGTTGACCCCGGGCTGATGTCACAGCAACTGATGTCAGGGCGACGTCCTGCAAGAAGGTGGGAATCCTCCAAATGCACAATATAACCGAGCTCTGATGTGATGCGGTGAACTTCATGCTTGATAGCGTTGTGAATCCTGGTAGGCTCGTTAGCAGATGGACAGCGGAGGACATGTGAGACAACTGAAGGATCCACGAATAACAAGCCGCAAGTGCATGTACGAGTGGTTGTGGAATGGGGAGACCAAGACAGATAGCAGCTGCAATGCACCACTCCGTAGGTGAAAGCTGTATGTGGGGAGAGCATGAGCCACAGTAAGCTAGTCGCCAGCATGGGGCCCTTGGAGGGAGGTCAAACGGGCCAAATGTTGGGGAGAGGTTACTGTGGATCGCACGCGCTCGAGCATGTCATCGTCCAAGTGTTGCGAAAGGTATGAATACAGCTTCTCTGGGTAGCCAGCGTGGAGTGCAAGCCAGGTAGGGAAATGATGCCGAATGGATGGATGAAGCTTGGACAAGGCTTCGGGAATGCATGGTTCAAGGCGGTCCATGGTGTTTGAAGTGATGAAGGGGCGGAAAATCTGAGAGCCATAGATGGAGAAGCATGAGGGGAGGAGTAAAGCTGTGTGTGCACAATTGCAGAGGTAACTGGGAGTAGTTGTTGTGGCAGAAGAACAGAGGCTAATCCTTCCAAGGCAAATGGGAATGAATGTTTGTCGTGTCAGAGGTCCACTGGAGATCCCCGATGATCCTAGGGAAGGGTTACAGGCATGTTGGCCTGGGGGGTTATGGGCGCACTCACCCGCTACACAAACAAGCCCTTTTATCCCAGTGGTTAGTGGCTGGGATTCTGACATGGTATCAGAGCGAAGGTCTCGGGTTCGAATCCCGGTGTATGCACTTCGGGCATCCCAGTGCGGGGGGGTGTCAGAGGTCCACTGGAGATCCCCGATGATCCTAGGGAAGGGTTACAAGCACGTCGGCCTGGGGGGTTATGGGCGCATTCACCCGCTACACAAACAAGCCCTTTTATCCCAGTGGTTAGTGGCTGGGATTCTGACATGTCGGTGTGCTGTATTAGTGTGGTCAAACGTAGGAGGCCAGTAGTCGGAGCCGATGAGGCGAACAAAATGATCAAGCATGACGTTGTCCTAGTTAGTGTAGAGCTCTTCTATCTCCTGGAATGGTGCATTTGTGCGGAGGAGGAATGAGGGACGGGCGAAGATGCAGAGAGATAGGATGCGAGAGGCAAGCTGTGGAACATGAAGGTCATGCTTGAGAGGCAGTGATGAAGAGAAGGAGTATGGTTTGTCTTGATTTGTAGAGATAATATGGGTGTCCGAACAGATTGGTACCCCCGCAACTGTGATACCGTTAGGGGCAATAACGATGTCTGATAAAGGTGTGAGGTTAGAAGGGAGGTCCAAATGGGCCCAAAGAGCGCATTTTGATGGTTGCACCCTTAGGTCGAGGCTGTTGAGACGAGCAAGTGCTGTATAGGCATGAAACACCTCATGCGCAAGGCCAAACATATACGTGTCAAACCGCATATGAGGTGATGAAGATAACTGAAGATAGCAGCTGAATGGGGCAAATGGCTAAGTGCTGGGTGAGGGCAAACAAGAATGGCCCATATGAGTCGCCCTGTCGAACACCTGATGATGACTGAAGTGTCTCAATCAGCGGGCCGTTACGATAATGAAGTGAAAAGGGGGAGGCATAAAGAGGCGGAAGAAAGGGAAGAAGCTGGTAAATGGGGAGTCTCGAAGAGCATTTAGCATAGCGGAATGACTTAAGGAGTTGAAAGCGTTGGCCAGATCCTGTTCTAGTCTGGGTGAGGGGAGATGGCTGATTGGACTGCTGTCAAACATTGTATGTTTATATTGTGTAGGCTATAGTGGGTTTAGCCTTAGAGGGTACACAAAATTAGGGTTTCATACTTGTACCCATCTCCTCCCTGCTAGTTCATCCATTCTCGTTCTATTCTAGATTCTGACATGGTATCACGAGCCTAGGTTGCTACCTAGGACCGCTTTCTACAATGGGCCCACTATTCCGCTAGAAGCGCCCTCGTGCGCTCTACCTTACGTGCGCCCTCGTGCGCCCTCGTGCGCCTTTCTCTGCTAGTGCGCCTTCGTGCGCCCTCGTGCGCTCTCGAGCCGCCCCTGCAGGTCCGTCAGGCCCCCGAGCCGCCGCTGCAGGCCCGTCAGGCCCGAGAGCCGCCCCTGCACACCCGTCAGGCCCGCGCGCAGCCTCTGCACGACCGCGCGCCGCCCCTGCAGGCTCTCGCCGCCCGCCGCGTCGCCCTGCCCGTGGCGTCGCCGCCTCCCCGCGGCGTCGTCGCCTGCCCGCGACGTAGCCCCTGTCCGCGGCGTCGTCGCCTGCCCGCGGCGTCGTCGCCTGCCCGCGGCGTCGTCCCCTGCCCGCGGCGTCGGCGCCTGCCCGCGGCGTCGTCCCCTGCCCGCGGCGTCGTCCCCTGCCCGCGGCGTCGGCGCCTGCCCGCGGCGTCGTCGCCTACCCGCGGCGTCGCTGTCAGAATATTATGCTCTAGCCTGTAGTGGGGTGCTCTATAGCGAGTACAACCCTTCTAGGGTTTGCTATTTGTATCCCCATTCTTGCTAGTGCAACCCTCTCCTTTGTTCATTTCTTGCTTGCCTAGCTAGGTCAACCCTAGCTATGGCTTCTCACTGTCCTTACTATCTTGATATGGTAACAGAGCGGTTACGCTCCTGGTCTGTGGGCCCACCACTTCACTGCTTCCGCTGCTACTGCTACTCCCTGTCCGCCGCGCGCCTCGTGGTACGCGGCGTTGAAATTAGGGTTTTCAGCCCGCCGTGCGCCCCGAGGCGCGCGGCGGTTCTCTGCCTACCGTGCGCCCCGAGGCGCGCGGCGGGTTTCTGCCCCGTCACACCGCGCGTTGCTCCCGGGAGGCGCTGCGACGGGCGACGGGGACCCGCGCGTCGCCCCCCGTCGCCCGTCGTGGCCTGCGCGCGGCCCGTACAGCCGGCGCGCGGCCCGTACGGGCTGCGCCAGGCCCGCGCGCGGCTCGGGCCGCCTGCGCGCGGTTCGGGAGGCTGTGCCAGACCCGTGGGCGGCCCGTTCTTCGCTGCCCCTGTCCTCCCCGCTGTCCCCCGTGCTTCTGAAGGCGCCCCACCCCTCCTTCTGCCCGTACTCCTGGATTAGGGTTTGGGGGTGGGGGGTATGGGGGTGCAGCTTCTGTGTGCCGTTCCCTGCTCCTCCTCCTCCTCCGTCTCCCTGTGCTGCAGCTGCCGCTGAGGGGGGTGGACCTGTTGGAGCCGTCGGAGTGGTACTAAGGGGGGGGTGAAAGGGGAGTGGAGCTAGGGGCGAAGCAGGGGGTGTGTGTCGAGGGGTGTGGGCCACCTGTTAGCGGCGTCGCCCTACTCGCGGCGTCGCCACCTGCCCGCCGCGTCGCCCTGCCCGCGGCGTCGCCACCTGCCCGCCGCGTCGCCCTGCCCGCGGCGTCGCCACCTGCCCGCCGCGTCGCCCTTCTCGCCACCTCGCCCTGACCTAATCCGCCTCTCGCCCCTGGAGCAGCCGCCACTGCAGCAGCAGCCCCTGGAGCCGCCCGCCACTGCAGCAGCAGCCCCTGGAGCCGCCCGCCACTGCAGTAGCAGCCCCTGGAGCCGCCCGCCACTGCAGCAGCCGCCCCTGGAGCCGCCCGCCACTGCAGCAGCCCCCTCTGGAGCAGCACGCTTCTGCAGCAGCCGCCCGTGGAGCAGCCCGCACCTGCAGCAGCCGCCCCTGGAGCAGCCCGCACCTGCAGCAGCCGCCCCTGGCCCCTGGAGCAGCCGCCACTGCAGCAGCCGCCCCTGGCACCTGGAGCAGCTGCCGTCGCGGCCCGGCCTCGCCCTGCAGCAGCTGCCGCGGAGCTCCCTGCTGCGGCCCGGCCCAGCCCTGCAGTTGTAGCGGCCCCGCTGTCGCCACCGTCTTGCGCCTGCCGCGCCGACCACTGGTGAGCATTGCCCAGCACTGCTACCGCTGCTACTGCTGCTACTGCCTTTTCTACTCCCACTGCCACTGCTCCTGCTGTTACTGCTGTTACTGCCGCTACTGCTACTACTGCTGCTCCTGGCGTGGCCAGATGCAGCTCCAGGGCCGTGCGCGTGAGTCCCTCACGCCCCAGCAGCTTCGTGCGCGTGAGTGGTACGCTAGTTGGGGCTGTCGGGGTGGCCGTAGT